TAATTAATTCATTTTGCCGTTTTGCCCACTCTCATCACTCTCCCTCCTTTTCCTTGTTCCATACTTGTTCTGACTTAATCCGATAGACCGATCTAGTGTCGGATCGGCCCCTCAGTTCTTCCAATTGTATGACTTTGATCACATTCCTTTAGTTCTATACAAGCTCCTCAAATGTTTTTGGTACACAATGACGGTATTGCAAAACAAGAACTCTTTTGAAATATAGTAAACATAAAAGCATGTCACATACAGATTCACTAAGCACTTATTCCGTGGGGTTGCTCAGTATGCATAAGGATACTGATATTCTTCCATTAACCATTTTCACGCCATCCATTCTTCCACTGATGCAAGCAAATCAGCCAAAAATTCGAACTCCGAATCCATTGCGGCTTGAATACCGTCACTGCTGCCCTGGCTGGCCATCATCTCCTCCGGCAACAGGAATGCATGAACAGAAGACAGTTGCAGAGCAGTTATGCTACCGTCATCGGCGGAAGGAATTTCTGGAAAACTTTTCTTCTCGACATTGGAATCCATTGTTAACTCTGGAGATATTCCTTCGTTGGTTGACAACAAAAAGGCAGGTGATCCATTTCCGGATTCAGAATTCACAGAATTTCTGTGTGGTTTTGAGTAATATGGTTTCTTGTTTCTTAAATATCTTGATGGTCCTTTCCCTTCCACCTTCTTGGACAAAACTGTGTTCCAGTAATTCTTGATTTTGGTGTCGGTCCGTCCCGGTAGTCTCCCTGCTATCAGAGACCATCTGCAGATTCAAATTCAGTCAAAAGAAATCTAACAGAAATCATACATGATACCATTACCATATGAGTATCAAACCAAAAACCAATTCCAAACTCATATTACATTTATTTACATTTTAAATAATCCCAATTAACTCGCCCTTTAATTATGTGTAGACCACGTGCTGTTCAGATTCCTATTAAACTTGCACATGTCGCGCTAACAATGATGCTTAGGAGTTAATTTAAGAAACGAGTAGAGCTCGAGTTTAATATTGAGTCTCTATTTAAATAAATGATCGAGCTAAACTCTCAAGTATTGAGCGTAGTCAAGCGCATGCGCTTAGCTCAGGCTTTCCACTTACTATAGTGGAATAGGAAGAAAGTGGAAGTGGAAAGGAAACCTGTTCCCCAAAAGCTTGTGGAGTCTTAAAATGAGATCTTCTTCATCAGGAGTAATGTTTCCTCTCTTGATGTCAGGGCTCAGATAATTCAGCCATCGAAGCCTGCAACTCTTCCCACTTCGCTTCAAACCTACATCGATCCACAATGCAACAAACAAATTAAAGAAGAAGAATTCAATTTTTCTACACTAGTTTATAACTATATATACTAACCTGCTCTTTTGGAGATGTTGCTCCATTTTCGTTCACCATAAATCCTAATGTAATCTGTGAGAATTTTGTCTTCGTGGGCGGTCCAAGCCCCTTTTTTGAATCCCTCTTTCGAAGAAGAAGGAGGAGGATTTGTACCCATATGCTTTGCTCCTTAAAACGTCTGTCTTTCCTTACAGTTATATAGACATTCGACAGCTGCTACGTTCAATTGGCTTTTTTTTTTTTCTGTATTGATGCCAGTTCAATGCAATTATTAAGAAGGTTATTTAATTTTTTTTAATGTTTATAGTTAAGGTGTTTTTGGATTAATTTTAATATATTTAAAAGTTAATTTTTCTTTAAATAGTTTTAAAAAAGTATCTTTATTAATTTGCTGCATTAATTGAATGTTAATCTTAAAACTTAACTTAAAGTTAACTTATAAAATAATACTTATTTATTAATACTTTTGATCTCCTAATTAGGGTTATAAAGAGGGTTATTCAACTTAATTATTTCATTGGTTGCCCTCAATTCAATCATAAGAGTAGGCTCTTTAATAATCTTCTTTGAACGGAGCCACTGCCCCGAATTTCCAAAAGATACCGTAAAATAGGGGTTAAAACGTGAAAAAATTAATTGCTCTATCGCAGACCTCGTTATACCTTGTTCTATTGGGTCTCTTACTAATTTTTTTTTGTTATCATCCCATTTGGTCTCTTATTCAATGGTGGAGCCATTAGGAGACCAGCAGGGCCACAGCACGGCCTAGTTTTTGAAAATTTGTTAAATAGTGTTATACATTTTTTTAAATATATAAATACCACATCAGATTTTAAATAGTGTTATGCATTTTTTAAATCTTTCTTTGAAAAATTACTTATATATATCTGAGTTTTTTTTTTAAAATTCTATTTAAATATTTCTCTAATGATTAGTTTTGTGTCTTTTTAAATTTTTATTAAAATTTCTTTATATTTTACTTTTTACTTTTTAATTTTCTTAGATAATATTAAGGAAAAGACACAATTTTATTATTCTTAAGGGTTTTTAGGGCATAAAAAGGATATATTTATTGTACATTTTTATAATTAATTTATATAAAAAATATAAGTATTGACTTTGATTTAATTAATTAGCTAATTAAAACTATTCACTTAACAATGATACTAAAATAAAAGTTAACTTTTGTGATTTTTTATATAAATTAATTGTAAAAAGTATAATTATTGCATCATTAGACAAACCCTTTCTTTAGTAGTTATTTTGAATGTATATATGTTTGTGTATGTCTATATTTAATTATAGGTGAATGATAATTTTGTTTTTTCAATGTAGAAAATCTCCACCTACTTATAAGTAACATAGCTTTTATATGTTAAAATATTTTGATTATTTAACATAGCTATCATAATGCTACCTTTTTTTTTTTTTTTATCAACTATCAAAGAAGATATTTGGTGAAACTTAAAAACACTTACTCTAGAAACACTATTTTTTTTCACGAATTTAAAATTTTGTTGAAAGAAACATTTAAAATTAATTAGCTCTTTAAGTGGGTTTTAAGTAAGTTTTGAAAAATTATACGTCTAAAATTTTTCAGAACTTATTTAAAGTTCACTTTAAAAGATAATTTTTGAATTTATCTTTAACAAAATTTTAAATTTATGAGAGATGAATAATACTTTTAAAGTAAATATTTTTTAATATTTATCAAACACTCTCAAAATGCTAATTGGTTATTGAAGATTTATACCATATAGGTTGCTTTGTTGCCAAACTAAGGACCACACCATACAAATAACTATAATTTGAATCATAAGCTTTGCCACCACTAATAAAAAAATGTCAATGTCTTGTAAATCAGCCTTAAAATTTAAGTTTTGAGACTAACATTTAAGAAAATTAATATTTTTTAATACACCAAGAAAATGTGGGAATGAGCCTTTAACATTATTTGAGGAGGAATTAACTTTGAGGTATGTGAAAGTTGTCTCAAAGATAAAGGTGGTAAAAATCTACCCACTCTGCCAACTCGACTCTAATCCAACTTGTAAAAATAGATTAGGGTTTACATATTCTAACTCGCAATCCATAAATAACTTGTAATATCAACCCGTATAGGTCACGAGTCAGGTTAGAGTCAACCCGTAAGTTGATGGGTTGACCCGTTTACTTTATTTTTTATTATTATTTTTACAAATACTATACTTATTATTCTTAATTAATTTTCCTATTGCTAACTCTCTTCATTAATTCATACTTTTCAACCTCATCTTCGTTACTCAAATGGTTTTGAACTTATTTTGAGTGTTTACTCATCATTATTTCTTCTTTTTTCTCTAGAAATTATGAGGGTTTGATCTAATTACCAAGCATCATGCATTAAATGATAATACAACTAAAAATATTAAAGAGGTGATACTAGGATATAAACATAATAATTTAGTGAAAAATTGTTCTTAGAAGAGCAATTTCATCATTAAAAAAATGGCTTAAACTCCTTGATAATGTTTCAAGATGATTGTATAATTAAATATTTTAAGTTTAATATTATTAATTAATTTATTGTTATTTATAACTTTATGATTTTTTCTTAATTTAAATCACTACAGCATTTTTGCCATTTAGCTACGCTTTACCTA